TTTGGGAAATGAGTCAGCAGCGCGTCCTGGTGCCGAGTGGAGTGGAAGTGGATAGATCCTGCACTCAGATCCAGTCCAGATAAGTGAGACGTCCAAGCTTTGCGCTTTTAAATAACAGCCAGAAATGTGCGTAACGCCAATCAGCAGCTGGAGCGTAGGTGGTCATGCAGGTCTTATATCACATCGTTCCGAGGGCTACGTAGATCTCCCATTGATCGTGATATGAAGCTTCTTGGGGCGTTCCCCCTTAAAACACAGACACTCCATCAGAAAAATAGAAGGAACTGGACCTTAAAAAATAAAATAAAAACAGGCAATATTTGGTCTTAGTTGGTATAAATAAGTATATCCTCTTTTCATGCGATTTAAATGTCTTATTTCCATAATTTTGAACAATTATGTTGAAAATCTACCATATCCTTTCAGTTCTTTTTGCATAGTCAATGACTTTGGGATGTCACATTACTTTCTGCAAGTTTATCACAGAAATCTCAAATTTGCATCAACAGGCTTGTGGGGTCACTGTGGTGCAGTGGTAAGACAGCCGACTTGGAACCAGAAAGTTGCAGGTTCAATCCCCCGCCATGCCCACATGCTGTGGCATCCTTGAGAGCAAGACACCTAATCCCCAACTGCTCCCCAGCCGCCTACATAGCTGCCCGCTGCTCCACCTGGGTGTATCTCAGGTGTGATGGGTTAAATGCAGAGAACCATTTTCGTCATTGCGTGGCAGCACAAAACACTTTCTTCTTCTTCTTCTTCAAAAACAGTATTTGGAATAGAGCTCCACATTGGCTGCACAGGTTGATAGCTAACCGAAAACATTTCAGAGAAAGGAAAGAATTAAATGTCTTCTGCATCTTATATTGCAATAACAATGAACATAGTTCTCCAGGAACTAACTCCAGAAACTAACTCTTTTCACAGTGACTATATTGTATTTTATGTCACAGATCTGTGTCCATGCTTGTTACCTTAGAACAAGTTCATGTTAGACTCTGTCCAAATGCAGCAAGACCTCACTTGTTGCCAGTGTCAAGCTCTATTAAAATATTGCTTTCCCTCTCTCCAAATTTGGGATATTTCTATCAATTAGTTCTAAAGAAGAACCAGAAACAAACCATCCAAACACATTCTTGGAAAACCTTCATTTATAGTGTCTTGGCTCTTTGCGTCATGCTGCCCTTGAGAGCAGATAAAAATTCATTTTACTATTCATTTATAGTGTTTATTACACCTGTATACCTGCTGATGATGCTGCACAGCCGAGTTTATTCTTACATGTTTCAGACTTTTATTAGGTGTAGGCGAGGAGTGCTTTTTGTTATCTATGAGCCATTCGTGATGTCATATCCTTCTTAAATGAATAGAGTGAGGCTGAAGTGGAGCGGACCACAGACCTGCACTTTTACTATTTGAATCAAACATATGGGATCTCTGGATTCTTCTCTCTAATATATATATATATTAAATAAATAAAAAAATTAAAAAAACAGAAGAAAAGCATTTCTAAATCTGAAAACTCTCCGCTGAGTTTTATTGTCTTAACATCCATCCATCCATCCATTTTCTTTACCCGCTTATTCCATTTTTGGGTCACGGGGGTCGCTGGTGCCCATGTCCAGCAATCACTGTGCGAGGGGCGGGGTACACCCTGGACAGGTCGCAAGTCCATCACAGGGCCACATAGAGACAAACGAGACAAACAACCATTCACTCTCTCATTCACACCTAGGGGCAATTTAGAGTTACCAATCAGCCTAACATGCATGTTTTTGGACTGTGGGAGGAAACCGGAGTACCCGGAGAAAACCCACGCATGCACGGAGAGAACATGCAAACTCCACCCAGAAAGGCCCCTGGACCGGGGTTTGAACCAAGGACCTGCTCGCTGAGAGGCAGCAGCTCTACCAGTTGCGCCACCGTGCTGCCCATTGTCTTAACATCCACAACTAAATTAATCAGACCCTGGATAATATGTTGAATGCATTTACCATTGTAAACAGTGGGGGGCAATCTACGTGTGTTTGTCTGTCTGTTAGCCAAATATCTCAAAACCTAATCAATGGATTTTGATCAAACTTTCAGAAAGCAATTATTGGATGTAAGTGTACAACTGTTAACGTTTTGGATCAAACTGATTCAGTACAGCTGCCACAGCAAATAAACCATATATGACAACATAAAAGATAAAATTCTGTCAGTTTTACTGATAGAGCTAAAAGTTTGTGTGGTAGTAGTCAAAAGTGCTTTGAATGCTATCAAATCACACATTGTTTTGTTTAAAACTTTGGCATTACCTGTTAGTTACTGTAACCCCGTCTGTCTGTTAACAAAATATCTCATGAACGAAAGGTAGAATTTTAAGGAAATACTCCTAAAGTAATTGTTAGATGTACATCTACAACTTATTAACGTTTGAAGTCAACCTGATTCAGGATGTCTGCCACAGTCATTAACTTTAGCACACTCAAAAATGTCCACAGCTTTGTCATTTTCACAGGTTCTGAGCTGAAAGTTGATGTGGTAGTAGCTGAGTGCCATCACCAACACATACTCTGAGCACTGACAGATCACATAAGATGTTTGCTTATAGGCACTGGAAGAAACTCTAGCTGTCATCTGCACTGATGGGAGGGGAAGACAGCTTTTTGAAGTCAGAGTAACAAAAAGATAGTTAGTGCACTAAACTAACAAAAAATCTGATTTTTTGCCTGGACAGACATAATACCACTAAAATAACATCTGATTAACTTAAGCATGTTGTCACAAATGCTTAAATATCTCTGACAGGTGCGACATGACGAGTGCATCATCTAACTTGTAGAAGCATTCATCGTGGGGCTCTTTGCACAAGAACATAATCCGTGCAAGCTCTGCAGGAAAGATGTAATTTTCTTTCTAATCATCATTTGTTGGAAAATACCATTTAGTCCTCATTTGAATGCTGAAAAGACATTTGCGTGTAACGTGAAAACCAGTTATTTTTTTCTACCAATATAATCAGCAGTTTAAAACAACTAAAACACAGAGTTTATTCCAAACCCATCATATTTTTCTTGTAATTAAACATGCATTTATGCTCGTGTTAGTGTTCGAGATCACGCTGGGAATGCAAAATGAGCATGAATATTTCAGAAAAGCCAAGTCTGACATCAGGCAGGTGACACGAAACTGCAGGCGTCTCTCGCTGAGGCCTCTGGAGGTTTAAGGGTGCAACATAAACAAAGTAGCAGGCCAGAATCCAAACGGTTCATTTCCAAAAAGGTTAGCAGCCATGTTTTAGCAATGACTTCCTATTTCTATATTTGCCCTGTGCCTGTATGGAGGAGTGCAGGGGGTGGGTGGAATGAGGGGACTGCAGTGATGCAGAGGTGTGGGATGGGAGATCTAACAAATGTGGGGAAGTCATTAACTACATATTTACATTATTGATGAGAGCTCCCACCCTTAACTCCTCTGGCAATCAAAGCTGCTTTTGGAGAAGCGTAGCACAAAACGCAGAGAATGCCACAGGCTGTTTATCCACGACGTGCCAGGACAGAAGAAGCTTTTCATCCAACCAAAAAAAAAAAACCAACAATTGGATATTTGAGCTGCAGGGCCAAACGCCCTGCCATACATCACAGGTAGCCACCTGCCTTGTGGACTTCTGAATGATGTGACGCTCCTTCTTTACTTGTGCGACATTTGGATGTCATCTTTTCTCGAGTCACTATCAAACCTGTTGCACTCTTATTTTGTATAAACTCCCCTCAGAGTTGCAGACGAACAGACGTTTTTGGACATTCTTCAGCCCTGACAGCTCAGCAGGAGGTTTAAAAGAAAGAAAGACTTAAAAAACACCTCAGGCACATCATGAGAGCATTTCAAATCAGATTATTGTGCGTGTATTGGGTCTGTGCATGCTAAATTCTCCTTTTTTAATAAAATTTTCTTGCACACTTACCGGTTGGAAAGATGATGGAGCAGAAAGCAGAACAAAACATTATTCACTCGGGTGTTTCGGTATTTTCAGATGATTTTTAGGCAGCATTTACCTTGTGGGAGAAGAACGAGAAGGGGAGTTCAGAACCCCAAGAGACCAGTATTAGTCATCCAGGACACGATGATTCAAAGGGCTTGAAAAAAGACAACTCCATTTCCTTTCTTGCTTTAAGGTGAAGTTTTATCTTTCACATCTAAAAGAAGTGAAGAAGTCATTTGAATGAAAGATGAAATAAAAACTGGAAAAAAAAGCCAGTTTACTTTGATTTGAGTGAACTTTTAAGAAGCACCATGTCATCCAGCACTCACCAAATAAACTTTAAAATAATTTGATGACAAATTAAAACCAATTAAAAACTATCCAAACATTAAACCACCAGACTTAAATTATTTTATATGATGAATCGTAGTTTCCATCCAAGCTTCATTAAGAACCTACTGATCAGTTCAATAGATTAGGTGTAGCTGCAACTGATGAGGACTTTGCGGTATGTTTGAGACTCACAGGACACTTGGATTAAAAACGAGCCAGCAAGGATTGCAAGTTTTTCTCAAAC